TTATATCTGATCGACATGCTGGGATCATTGCAGCAATGAATGACCCTAACGTGGATTCACCGAGCCGCGAGCCTATCACAGGTTTTGTGTTCGCCACTTGGCTTTTAACTTGAAGACTCACGTGCGAAGAAACGACATGAGAGATATGTTCAAGGCTGTTGCGTACCAAAGGCAGGAAAGAAAACTGCAAGCTGATTTGAGTTTGATCGGTCAGGCATGTACCAAGGCCATACAGTATATTGTCCAAGTGTCGTTGCCTATGTGGTCTTTGTTTTACGATGCTGGTCGCAGATATGGGATATGTACTACGAACTTCTCAGAAACATTTAACAATGTGTTGAAGGGTGCTCGATTTCTACCTATCATGTCCCTTGTTGAGTTAACATTCCATAGAGTTAATAAGTATTTCACTGATAGAAGGGAATTATCTCAGGCTACATCTGAACAAGGACTTGCATACCCCCCCAAGGTCACTTCCACTATGGAGAAAAACATCGCAAAGGCTAGATATCACAAAGTGGAAGCGTATAACCGTCGACTGCATATATATCAAGTTGAAACAAAGAGGGGAGATAGAATTGGTAGAAAAGGAGGCCATAGACATACTGTTAACTTTCAGTTAAGAACGTGTACATGCAATAAACCACGGATCTTCCACCTCCCATGTTCTCATGTTCTAGAAGTTTTGTGCGAAGTATTCGATATCAGAGCGGCCATGGGTGGACCGGGTACTGCAATCAGAGGCCTACGCAAACACATACGCTCCCCAATTCTGGCCTATCCCTTGTGAGACGGCATGGAGAGAGTATGGAGGCCCTAAACTCATTCCCGACAACAGCATGGTACGAGGACAAGGTCGCCCTAAGTCAAAGCGCATACGCAATGAAATGGATGAGACCAACCGTCCCGCGAGCAAATGCAGCCTCTGTCACCAGCAGGGTCACAACAAGATATCGTGTCCATCTAGATCGACCGGGCACTAAGTTTTATTATTTTTTATTTTTTTATTTTATCTAGAATGATTTAGTAGAATAGTACGTTGATTGTATTTCTGCATTTCTAATGATTGTAATAGTTAGAATATTTTTAGATTAAAGTATGAGATTTGAAATTTGTTGTTTGTCGCTGCCTGTATTTTGTTATCGCTTGTCTGTAATTGTTAATCTCTAATTGTTGGATTATACCATTGTTAATGAACAGATACCATGGACACCCGAGACAGGATACCCGGAGACAGGACACTCGGACCCACTAACCCTTCTGTCCTTACCCTACAGGACACACATCGTAGCTTTGACATTTGGACTCAGTCGGTTGATCCGGCAGGCATCCTGACATTGCGGCACTACACTACCGCGTTCGTTAGGGATTGGGTTATCGATCCCCGCATTCTGCCTTTCGTCGAGCAGGCTGGCTTCATGGGTATACATCGGATGGCGTTCAGAGATGTCGACCCAGCGCTTGTTACTACGCTTGTGGAGAGATGGAGACAGGAGACGCACTCCTTCCATCTACTTGTTGGGGAGGCGATTGTGACATTGCGAGACGTGGCGATACTCACACGCCTTCCCATTCATGGGAGTCCGGTGATTGGATCTGCGTTGGTCGATCCCCCCGGTTATGTAGCTCAGGTTCTCGAGGTTCAACCAGGTCCGGACGATATCAGGGGTGGCGGATTGAGGACCGGCTGGATACGCGACACTTTTTGTGTGTTTCCAGACGATGCTGATCAGGCCACTGTTGAGAGACATGCTCGAGCGTACCTTTTTCTGCTCATCTCGGGTGTGTTGTTCGGTGGCAAGAGTGGCAGCCATGAACAGATCATTTACCTACAGTTGTTAGACCACGACTAGGAGCATATCCGTGGCTACAGCTGGGGCAGTGCTTGTTTGGCGATGTTGTATCGCCATCTGTGTAGAGCATCCCGCCGGGGTTCTCGTGAGATCAGCGGTCTGTTATTTTTGCTTCAGGTAACCTACCTAACTGTTAACAATTTAATTTGGTAAGTTCTTACCTAGTTTACAATTAACCTAGTTTTGTGTGTTTGATGTCCAGTATTGGTCTTGGGAGCACATCCATGTAGGCAGGCCAGGTAGGCCTGCTATACATCGTCAGGGCAGCAGGATCGAGACCAGCAGTATCAGAGGTACATTCCTCCACCACGCCCTACCGCTGACGAGGCGTACGGTTGCAGATGGGCGGTCCCCAGACTGACATATGTGCATGCGACGAGGGGCCTTCCGTACTACCGAGACGCACTTGACCGAATCACCGAGGATCAGGTGATAACTTTAATTTATTTTGTAAACATTTATTTATTATGTATACTCTTAACCTATTTAATATGCACTAACCTGTTTACGATATTACTTTGTATGTGTTATTGCAGATGACATGGGACCCGTATGAAGCCGATTTAGTTGCTCCCATGCCTCCACATCTGCTAGATCATCAGGCGCAGTGGCGTGCTAGGGTCCCCCTGATCTGTTTTGAGGTTGTGGAGAGTCACCTACCGGATAGAGTCATGCAATAGTTTGGACTACGCCAGCCTGTCCCCCAGCAGTATGACACTAGTGTTCGGCTGCACTGCATTGATCGTCGGGGAAAGAGGGAGAGGAACTGGTTCATGGAGCATGCCCAGTACATTGACTTGTGGTATCGACAGTTAGAGTTCGTCGTCACTGATGAACCCATCCAGGGCGTTATGGATCCATACGATCCATACATGGTGTGGTACAGGCATATTACACGACGTTTTATCAACCCCAGCTACACGCCGCCATCCGCACATTACCATCCATCCTTTGACGTGATCTATGGATATGTAAGTGTATTTGATTTACTTATTTCATCAATTTTTAATTTGTATATCATTTAACTAACTCATCCATAATTACTGCAGGCGTTGGATATGACGACGATGGTTGATGCACTGTCGGACGCCCTTCCAGAGATACCTGAACCGCCTAGAGCACAGATCGAGCGGGTGCGAGATATGGGCATGGCTACCTTGCAAAGATATGGTCATTCCTATCTCGTCCACCCCCGGGACGGTCATGGAGGCCACTCTGTCCACTCATAGTTCGAGGCTGGCCAGAGTAGCGGTGGGGGTGATCCTGCGTCATTCACGGCCACAGAGGAGTACGTCATCCGCAGTTCCGCGCCCACACCTCATCCGGATGACTCGTCATCCAGCCAGCTGACTCCGCCAGTACGCCCAGACCCATTTACCACCGTCCGTCACTACAACCGTCGTGTCAGACCGAGAGGCAACATACAGGATAGAGAACCGTTACACCGGATCAATGTGTCAGGATAGGATAAAATTATCTGATTTAATTGTTGTAATGAGCTTCTCTAGTCTGTTGTATATAACACTTACATTACATTATTATTATAATAAATGTGTTTTGAATGAATTTATGTCTTGTTTGAACTTCAAATTCCTTATTTATGCATATTTGATTCATTTTGTTCAAAATAAATCAGTATAGGCTGGTTTGGAAGTCGTTGGGGTGGTTTGAAGTGCCTAAGGATGGTTGAAATCATCGGTGGAGGGTGTTGGTCGATGGGCGGTGGTGGTGGTGGTAGGTTGGTGGTTGATACCGGTGGTGGTGGTGGGGGAGGGTGGTAAGTGGATGTGATGAGATGGTGGTGGATGGAGATGGTGGTGGTGGTGTCGGGAGGTGTTGGAGGGGTGTGTGGATGGTGAAGTGGTGGTGGTGGATGCCGGTGGGGATGGGAGGTGGCAGTGGAGGAGGGTGGTGGTGGTGGAGGATGGCTGCTGTTGTTGGGGCTGTTGTTGCTGGCTGTAGTCAGCCAGTAGATAAAACGCTGCCTGTTGCATTATCTGTTGATATAAAATGCTGCCTCAGTCAGCGTTTTAAGGTCTGGCTTTGACATATTAGCGTTTTAAACCGAGTCAGCGTTTTACCTAAGAAGCTTAGTTTCGTAAATAGTTTGGCCACGCGTCTAGATTGGTAAATTATTTGTGAAATCAGCTCAATTTGGTAATACGTCTCAATTTGAGTATTTGGGTTGGGTTAATTGGTCATGTCACTCACGTGGTGACAATGTTTATCAAATTAAATTTAGTTTTGATTTCTTCGAGTTCAAACAAATTCATATGAAACAAAGGAAGATGTATTGACGACTACAAAAAAATTCAAGTGATTGTAGTTGTTTTAATTGCTCCATAGTCTTAGTTTTACGTCTTTGTAATTACTCGGTAGTAATTATGTAAACATTTTCACGGAATTCATACATTTTTTGAAATTACTAAACATTGCACCCGGCTCTCTAGTAAGCCATCTTCTAGTGTATGATTGGAGATTGGACATTTGCAGTCCATAACCCTAACTTTTATGCATTGATTTTTGAAAAAACGAACAATAACCAGTCACCACTCCCCAATGTTTGTTAATCGATTATGAACGAACTACACTTGATTTCCCATAGCTTTGATTTTGCAAAACAATCGAAGACAGATAATATAACACCCAATACCCCAATAGTAGTATAGGAGGATGTCCCATTTACTCATTGTGAGAAATATTTTATGTTTCTCACCGTGGCAATTCGTAAATAAAATGTACCACTTTAGTCGCGATGATACGAAATTGTTCAGGGTAGTACAAGAAATAGATGATAAAATTGTACCACTTTAGTCACGGTAGTATAAAAAGTTAAAAACCCCTGTGAGAAACAATTTTTGTTTCTCACAGTGAGAAACATGGATTTAGCGGTAGTATAGTACTTGCACATAATCCAAGCTAAGATTTTATTAATCGATCATAAAAACATACACTAAGGACCCAATTAAACACTTGATAGTTATGGGAATCCTCTTCATGGCCAAGTTAAAGACATTAGAAAGTTATAAACAAGAACAAACTACACTAACATAGAGTGGATCTGAGTCCGATGAGAGTGAAGTAGCATCTTTCTTGCTTCATTAAAGAACTCGTACTAGTAGTCGCAGCAGCAGTAGCACTATTAGATCAAGGATGGGTTAGCAGGCACCCAAAGCAGGCCATCAGAAGAGAGGAAATGGCAAACTGGAGAGCCGGGTGCAATGTTGAACATACGGAACACGCGAGATTAGCGTCAAATGCATTCGAGTTCATGTGGCAACTGGCAACCGCGTTAACACGAGTACCATCCTCACCCAACAAACTAATTTCGTACACTCGGTTTTCAGGGTCAGGGTTATGGCAATAGTAGACCGCGTAAGGATAAGTCAGCATGTGACACGCGGTCATTTTAGGGCTCGGGACTCTTTTTAGCTGCTCAATGATTGTGTAAGGTTGAAATACTTTGGCTGATTTCAGAAGTGGACTTGTACTCAACACCTTAAGATCATCAAATAACTGACCACCGTTATTGGTAGTGCTACTTTTGAAGTCGATCATAGAGTCTAAGGATGTAACGCATTTTTTGGCTCCTTTGGCGTGGGGAATTTCGGCCTCACACTTTTTAAGACTGAATTCCATGGCTTTCGCTTGAGGAGATTCGGGTTGGAAGCTGAAATAGTTGAGAATAAAGGAGAGGTGTTGGGATGAAAAAGGGATCATGTCGGCTTTTTTCTTAGGAAGAAAACGTGGGATTTCTGCATCGAATGCGCCACCAAAGTAAATCGGCATTTTCGCGCCCGACCTTAAGGTCGTTATAGTTGAAGAACACGTAGTCCGATTCCTTGAACTCGGACTTCTTATGGAAGTCAACTTCTCCCGCATTCACAACCTGCATGGAACATAATTATTAAAGTTGATCGATATATATTATGAAAGTATACATTGTAACTAGTTTAATAACATTTTGAATTATACTGAGTAATATATATATGTTGTACAGTGCATAAGTAAACTTTACAATTTATATTGTTAAACAATTTTAAGAGTAGAGAAATTACCACCAAAAACACTACGGCTAAACTGAGAACACCAAAAAAAACATCTTCATTTTGTTAGTTGATTGGATGAGATGTTTGTGGATATTAATTTTGATTTGAGTACATTCGTCAAAGCTTGAGTTGCTATTTATAAGCAAATAAGAAGTAATTATTTAATTTAATCTGTCTCCAACAAGTATTGAAAGAATTTTTAATTATAAGCAAACAACAAGTAATTATTAATTTAATCTGTCTCCAACAATTATAAGCAAACAACAAGTAATTATTTAATTTAATCTGTCTCCAACAATTATAAGCAAACAACAAGTAATTATTAATTTTGATTTGAGTACATTCGTCAAAGCTTGAGTTGCCATTAGTCTGTCTCCAACAAGTATTGAAAGAATTCTATCCAAAACATAAAACCACGCAATGCAACAGACTACAGAGATAATGAAGTAAAGTAACGAATGACTTACACATTTACGCACACTGCCTTATCCATCATGTGAAGTTACAGTTGGGTGAAATCTAACATATTGCATTTTTATGGGTGATAAAATAATTATAAAAAAAATAGATGATTAAATCAAAATAAGGTGTTTTGAAGGATGGTAAAATATTCCCTAAGATTAAACACAGAAATATGGTTACAAGTTATAATCAATATGAAGAGTTTGTGAATATTAATTTTTGCCTATGGTTGTGATTATTAAAAAAATAAAAAGGCTCTGATCTTTTTTGTTTTTTTCATTTGAAATCTTAGCATTATTCGTAATTTGTTTTTGACAAGCATAATTCATAGGTTGAGATAATATTCTAAATTACTCTCAACATATAAAGTATAATATAATCATTTAATTCATATTAAGTCTTATTAAATTCATATCAATGTGTAGTTTATTACAGAATAATATTCAACCATTGGCAGAGCCAGGTGGGTACAAGGAAGGACATATCCCCCCCCCCCCCCACTTTGTAAGAGTTGTCCCCCCACTTTTTAAGTAGAAAAAAAAAAGTTTTAAGCAATTTGTGTGTACAATAATGATAAAAAAGTTTTAAGCAATTTGTCCTTTTGGCCAGTTTAATAATCTCACCTTTGGATTATAATTTAATAATCTCACCTTTATAGGGGTTTTTCTCTAATGGTCCCTAACCTGTTGGTAACCGGTTTTAATAGGTTACAATGTATGTGTCACTTTGTGATTAGTTGTAATCTTTAAAAAAAACAAAATAAATAATCAAAGTAAAAACAAAAAAAAAAAAAAAAAAAAAAAAAAAAAAAAAAAAAACCAGCCAACCCAAACCCCCACACCACCCCATCCACCTCCCATTCACTCTCCGGCTTCCCCCATCCCCTCCCCATCACCACCACCGCAAAACCTCCCTCCCCATACCTACCCAACGAACCGCCTCCCCTTCACCTAAAACCACCACGACTACCGCCCCCCTTCCACTAAAATTAAATTTATTTTGCGAGAGACTCCATTTTACTTTGTTCTATAATTATTTCTTCCCACCATATTTGATTTTTGGGTTTTAATCAAATCTTCCAATTTTTTCATCAAAATATCAAACAAATTTAATTAGTGTTTTTCGCCAATCAAATGGGTTCCAACTTCCAACCCAATCAAGGTTTCACCTATAGATCTAATGAGTGCTATTTTTAAGGGTAATTTCAAACAATTAAACGCGTCATTTGAAGACTCTTTTGCTGTTGCGATCATCGTTGAAAATCGTGAAGTTGTCATATTTGTTACAACCTCCATTGATGTACTCACTGGTGTTGCTTTCGGCGCCAGGGAAGGAGAAAAGGGTGTTTCTGGGATGGGGGTGAGCGTGGGAATTGTGGTGGTTTAATTTTAGGGGAAGGGTTAAGGAGGAATGGTTGCCGAAAGCGTGGATGAGGTGGCGTTAGTGTTTGGGGTGGCTGTTTTTTTTTAAAAAAAAATTAAGTTTATCTTTTTCTTTCTTTTTTGACCATTTATGTATTAACATGTGTCACTAAAATCACAAAAAAAAAAAAAAAAAAAAAGTTAACCTAATGTACAAGTTAGCGGTCCCAAGGGACCAATAAAAGAAAATGACCTATAAAGGTGGGATTATTAAATAATAATCTAAAAGTGGGATTATTAACAGCAAACCGACCAAAGGTGGGATTATTCAAATCAATTTTTCCTTTTATAAAATCATGTTCTAACTTTAATACATAATTTTTAAATAACTGGTCAAATTACAAACCCAAATTATTGGTCGTAATATGGATTTTGGGCAAAAGTATTTGATCTTATTAATTTATCTCAATTTAAATTAAATTGTCTAAGGGTTTTTGTCAAATTATAGAACGACTTCCTTAATCCATCCACCCGCAATGAAAATCCTGACTCCGCCACTGTATTAAACTATAATATTTTTACTAATATGCAACTAAGATATGAGGCATTCAAAAGGTTAACAATTATGCATGGTCAGATGTATAACCAGGGGCATTCTAGTAATTTGGCATGAAATTTTAACATGCCCATGAATTTAGATTATTGTCCTCTCAACATATAGAGTATAATATAGTCATATGCTTGTATTGGTACTAATACACTCTTAGTAGTGCTTAAATAAACTTCCAATGGTATTTTGTAAGCTTCTAGTGGTACAATTAGAGTGTGATCCCATCACTGTTTTCTCTTATTTCACGTGAAATTTGTTATATATACCCATGTGCACCGTATACTCAACTAACGCAAGGTTAGTTTTTGCTCTCTATTAAATGAGAACAAAATACTCATGGATATACAATGCACCCGAGTGTATATAACAATCGATGGTGAGGTCCACATAAATTTTTTCTCTCTTCCATGCATGTACCTTCATTATATTTATATTTTAATATTGCTATGTATTAGCCCATACATAACTAACCTACATTAATACTTCAACACTAAGATATTTCCGGTCAAAATATATTCATTGACAAACGTACACCATCAAAAGAGGAAGAACATTTAACAACATATTTCTGGTCAATGTTAATCTAAGAAAAAGTTTTAATTTTCTAGAAGAGGGAGTAGTCATATTAGAGTTTGTAAAAACAAGACGTGTCAACTTTATAAGAGACGAGCGGAAAAAAAGTTCCACTACTTTGACTTGCAACACTTTTTCTGGATTTCTTCTCACTTGCAATACTTTGACTTTTATACTATTTACACTCTACTTTGACCGAGTTTGATGTTTATATTAGTCACATAAGATCTTAATAAATTATTGATTGATTTATAACTACATAATATCAAATTTATATATTTTTTAATTGTTGGTAATTATATATAATTATCATCCAATCAATGAATCGGTCAATGTAAAATGAGAAATGTTACAAGTAAAAATGGATAAAACAGTTTCTTAATCCGTGTAGCTATACTAGAATGCTACTAGCCTACTAGTACTATCAGAGCCTGTGGTAGGGGGGTCATACGCAACAGTTGGAACTTGGAAGACATCTGAAAAAATGAAGCTCTTTCTCACTTTTCTTTTGGCATTTCTATTGGTAAGCATTCATCACTTCTTTTGGCCTTGCACTTTTTTTTTTAATGTTGCTGTAGTTTATACTAATTATACATATATAGGGAGCATATAAAATCCTGTTTATTCTTCTATCAAAAAATTATAGACTCGTATACTTTGTACTCCGTATTATTCAAGAATGCATTTGGACTAGATTGTTTTCTTTCAAAAGTTTCTTTTTTTTGCTCCTACTTAAAGTTGGTAAACAATGAAATACTTCCTGTTAGTTAACATATTTTACTACTATGTCTTATTCTTTCAAATGCTTGTTAGTTAATACGAAGTATGTTATACTATATCTTATTGTTTTACCTATTTATACAGGCTGTTAATGTAGCTAATTGGACTTAACTCAAGCTAGTAAAACGTAATAAAAATCCGAAGTTGAAAGCTCTTGTAAAAGAGCACAAACTCTCTCTCTTTTTGTGTGAGTGTGTACAGCTACTGGCTGCCTCACTTGGTCACCTGTTTATCACAAGATTTCCCATCAAAAACTTTTAGAAGAAGCCACAACTTAAGTCCTTAAATTGGACTTAATTCAAACTAGTAAAATGTAATAAAAAATGGACCAAGTAAATGGACCAAAACTAAATACATTTTACTTCAATTGGGCTGGACTAATAAACAATTATACCACTCAATACCTCCACACATTGATACCTTAGTTACATAAAATCATCTACAATAATACACTGAGAAAAGTAGTCACCAAAATTGCAAAATGCCGTAGCACCCTCTCTAATTTAATTCTGTAGCCGATTTTATGTTTTCTTTGCTGTAGTTAAAAAAAAAAAAAAATCGCGGATCAAAGCTTTTTAATAAAAATAAATAGATTAGCAAATATCAGAAAACCCCAAAAAATATAATCCGACTTCTCCGTCAAAAATAAAATTGTATAGAACATAGGCTTAACAGAAGCACATTGCAGGATACCTATGGATATATAGACCATTTAAATTGTAAATTAACTTATTTTATGCCTTCAATATCCTTTCAAGAGAGAAATATACTTCAAACCCATAAACAAGTGAATAGTCAAGTACCCAACCAATTCTGAATCCATTTCTAGTCCCACACGCAAAATGTACAGGCTGACAGCTAGTAAAACCTTATACCAAATGTATAAGACCAACTCTAATTTTTACTGGCATACATCTAATTTAAAATCAAATGAAATTAGATCAGAAGAAGAAA